AACCTACCCAAAGAGGCAGCCACATGGGAGAATTATAACCACATCACAAAGCAATTTCCAAATTTCGATCCTTGGGGACAAGGATCCTTTGAAGGGGAGGGAAATGTAACGAATGTGACAAATAAAGGAGCTATGGAGGGGAGTACGGGAAACAGGAAGAATGATCAGCAGTGATAGGGTTGGAAGACAAATAATGATACGACGTCGTGTGAACATCAATGGTTGAAGGCTGTTATAACTTATTCGATACGGCGTCGTTTCGTAGCAACGGTTAGGGAGCCGTTAGTTAATAAATGGAACGGTGTCGTTTGAAGCAGGTGGTTGACATCTCAAATCCAGCGACGTCGTTTTGTGCTTAGCCAAGATTAGGGTTGCAGTTGGGAATCTGGAGTTGGTTACACTCTTTTGGATGCATTAGCTAAATTATTGTATATATTACATAGATCTTTCAGCAGATGTTTTTTATGTTTTTGGATATGGAATGAAACCCTAAATCTCCCTCTTTTTCTCTCATAATCTCTCTCCTTTCTTCTGTTTTCCCTATCCCATCTTCTCTGCATTTTTATATTTCAGCAAGGACTATGACAATGCGTGAGGCTGGTATAAGAGAGTACGTACACTAGAAAATTAACAAGGATATCCTGTTTATCAGGACTGAAAAGCATCAAGTGCAAAATAAATAGAAAAAGTTAAAAATATAGGAAATACATATTACAAAGCAAGTCTCAGTAGAATCAATTATGCAATTTGACAGTAGCCAATAAGAATAGTAAAACAAAAACCTCGCTGCTGAAGGTATCGAAGCCGGTCTCACCGATGCTCGCGATGGACGAAAACACCTCGCCAAAGCTCGCTGCCAGTCTCGTCGATGCTCGTTGCTGACGGAGCTTCTCGCTGCTGGTCTCGCCGCTGTTGCTGAAGAGGTCAAAGCCGAAGCTCGCCGCCGTTGCTTTCGCCTCGCAGATGGTTATCGCCGGTGAGACCATTGACGTCGTCGTCAGTAGATCTGTGGAGCTGAGATCTGTAGAGTCATCCTTCTTCGTCTAAAGCTCTATGATTTAGATCTAGGTTTTTTTGCAAGGAGGAGCGTCGATGATAGATCTAGGTTTTTAATTTTAATTTTTTATTTAAACAAACAATAGCAACAGACGCAATAAGTGTTCGTTCTTTTTAATCTTCACTTTTTGAGTGTGTTCTATTGGTATAACAGATGCTATATGTTATTTAAAAATTACAAATATACCACCGTGTGTGTTTTAACCTCTCTTTTTCAAACAACAGATGCTAATAGTCTAATTTTTTTGGTCAAATCTGTACTAGTGTCATGCAATACCGTACTCATATGCAACTCGTGCAAGTACTAAACTCAAATGCAACCTCATGCAACATTCTTTTTATGCAAACATGTGCAATCTATAAGTATACACATACACTCGCTTGTAAAATAAAATACTTTTCTGTGGAGGTTTCTTAGAGCTACAAGGACTCGCTTGCTTTCTTTCTTAGAGTCGCAATGACTTGCTTTCTTTCTTTCTTTCTTTCTTAGAGTCGCAATGACTCGCTTTCTTTGCAAATGGACGAGTTAGGAACTTCACCGTAGCGTGAACGAACCTATCCAGGCACGACGTCTAGCCGGCCTAATACTCATCTCGTCCACCGAACCATTCTCTTGGTTCTATGCTCAAACTCTGCGGAATCAGGTATCGAACTTTTAGCGTGCACACCCCCTGACCAGGATGTCAAGCCTGGCGGGCAGTTTCCAACCTCGTAACATGGGAATACACCGCGCTACATGTACTGGGACCGCAATGTCCATAACAATCATCCGAGAGGACATAGTCCAAACGGGTCCTCCAAAACAAGATTTTCCTCACCATATATATATATATATATATATATATATATATATATATATATATATATCGCTCATGCATTTCATAGATGTAAGACTTAACTTATGCAAAGGACATGTACATACTTCTCAATTTATTCACAAAGATAAGATATAGATGCTCTACGTGGATTGAGAATTTCTTTGGAAAATAATACTTAGGCTCACCTTGGCCACTTATGCACTTTTGAAATATGATATACTTTAGATGCAAAAATACTCTACAACATGCTCCAAAACCATATATAAAGATCGTAAAATTCTCAAGAATACAATAACATACTCGGTTTGCAACATAACTAATTCTATATATTTCTATCAACAAAATATGCTTCAAATCTCATTGATCAAACAACACATTCTAGTCATGCTTTTTTAATAAATCATATTTCCAAAATGATCATGTTTCTCTACTCAATACAAAAATAACATAAGGCAACAAGGCAAAACATTTCTCTTTCACTAAACATCACTAAATTTTTAATGGAGTGAAAATGACTATTTTGGAATTTCTTAAAATTGGATTCATAAAATAAAATTTTGGGTTGTTACACTCTATCCCCTTAAAAGAAGTTTCGTCCCGAAACTTAGAAGGAACGAGTGGATCAAGTTCTCGAAGAGTAAAGGAAGATACAACAAAGAGGTTGGGAATTTTCTGTTGGAATATTCTGGAAGATTTAGGAAACGCTGAGTTCTCGTCTAACTTAGCTAAAGTCTAAGCAATTAAACACATAACGAATCTATTAACTGAACTTGAAAGCTTAACTAATTACCTTGATCAAATCCTCCTGATGAACCTCTTGGTGGCATGTAGTTCGGATCCCATCCATAGGGAGTCCATCTTTGCACATTCTCAATTCTCATTCTTTGTTCCATCACCGCTGCCCTTTGATCAAAGTTGAAACCATCTAAATACATAAAAGAATTAAAATTAAGAGCAAAAGAAGAATTTTTTGGAGAAACAATAGGGTCAAACCTCCTTTGGCGGTTTGCGGTGGATAGATCTAGAAAAAAATACGCGATTTGAAAAAATAAATTGTCCAATACGGACAATCGAGTCAAAAGTACAGTTATGCCTTCCCGAACTTTTAACACTTTACAACGCCAAAATAATAATAATAATAATAATAATAATAATAATAATAATAATAATAATAAAATTAAACGGTCGGCTAGGTGGTCTAGGCGACCGCCTAGCCGCGGAGGAGGCTGATTCCGGCCGAATCGTCTGCGGCCGGGCGGCGCCTAGCGCCTAGGCACGATTTTGCTTAAAAGTAACACACATACACACACACACACACACACACACACACACACACACACACACACACATATATATATATATATATATATATATATATATATATATATATATATATATATATAATTTATTTGAATATAAAGTCTAAAAATTACTCAAAATTAAATATGGGTTAATTTTATAACATTAGTATAGAAAATAAATTTTTAAAAATAAATGTTAGCATCAAGCTAGTTTTTTATTAAAAAAATTGGTGAATAAAAAACAAAGAATGAAAACTGAAAAATTAAAGATAAAAAAAAAAAAAAAAAAAAAAAAAAAAAAAAAAAAAAAAAAAAAAAGGAGAGGAATTAGGAAGTAAACGGGAAAAAATTTGAAACGTGCAAGTACCCCAAATCCGTTGAAAACCGACATTACCGGGACTCTGTCTACTTTGGCGCGAATAAACCATGCGTAGTATCCATTTCATATTTCCATTCATCTCTCTTTCTTTACCTTTCACTTCTCCATCTCTGCCTTCTCCCAAAGGTTTCCATGCAGAGCTAACAACCAACGACATCTAGTAAGTTAGAAACCATTTCAACTTTCTGTATTTGATTTTTTTTTTTTCTTTTTCAACAAGAATTGTGTATGCGATTTTCAATTTTTCCTTAGCTTAACCCTGAATCATATATTTATAAGATCTTTCGAAATTCTTTACAGTTTCAGGTGAATGCAGATCGAATCCATTAATATGGGTTCTATTTGTCTATTATGTATCCGTTCTCAAGAATTGACATTTTTAACATATTAAGGGGCTTTAATGCCAGGCTTGTTGGTGATTGATAGAAAATGGGGAACGCCATTAAGGGATTGAAGAGATTTTATCTTCAGATCTTTATGGTTCTTTTTCTTTTTTTTTTTTTTTTTTTTTTTTTTTGAGTAATCAGGAAACCAACCTTGTGACTTTAGCCTGCAAATGATTACAAAGAGGTAAACCAAGTTAGGTTGCAAGGGCTCAAACCAAACACCAATAGGTCACTTCTATAGAGTCAAAGCCGGCAAAAGATTACAAAAAGGTAAACCAGGCTACCTAGGTTGCAACCTAGCCGACTCAAATCAAACACCAATAGGCCGCTCTTACTGAGAGTCGAAGCCTGCAAAGGATTACAAAGAGGTAAACCAGGTTAGGTTGCAACATACCTGACCGGCTCAAACCAAACACCAATAGGTTGATCCTACCAAGATCTGAAGCCTGCAAAGGATTACAAAGAGGTAAATCAGGCTATGTTGCAACATACCTGACTGGCTCAAACCAAACACCAATAGGTTGATCCTACCAAGATTCGAAGCCTGCAAAGGATTACAAAGAGGTAAACCATGCTAGGTTGCAACCTAGCTCACCGGCTCAAACCAAACACCAATAGGCCGCTCTTACTGAGAGTCAAAGCTTGCAAAAAATTACAAAGAGGTAAACCAGGCAGGGATGCAACCTAGCTGACTGGCTCAAACCAAGCACCACTAGGCCGCTCCTACAGGAGTCGTGGTTACCAAGTTAACAGGCAGACCAAGTTAATGAATAGAAATGTATGTTGAGGTTGTGATGAAGGTTTTCAAAATGGTGATCCTATCAACTAAGAATGTATTGAGGGCATTTTGAATTGAAGTGGGGTTTTGGAGCTTTACCCTCTCTCAGCTCCCATGCATCTTAATAGATTTGTTTAATTTGTTTCTTGATTATGAAATCTATTTGTGATTTAGAAGAATCAAGTAATAGTGTACAATGTATGTATGTTTTCTCAATTCACAGAACTGGAGTTTGATCCATGCCTGTACCCATATATATGTCGATTAAAGGGAATGGGATTTGAGAATGTTGAAGACACAATACATTGGAGGGCATAAGGAGAAATTTGTAAGGTGTGTAATGTTGCAGTTGTTAATTGGTGAGATTTGGATGATTGAGTGATTTTTAATTTGTATAATGGCCGCAGGTTAGATTGATTGACATGAGATCGATATGGCTGGAATAGGGAATTGTGGGTTTAATATAGACGACGGAATGGGTTCTGGTATACCAGCTAGGAATCCACAATCAATGTCAATAAAAGTGGGAGTGATGAGAGGATCTGAAGGGCTAATGACATTCGGTCGATCACTGAAATGTGGAGTTACCAGAGTGGTGTTCCCAGAAGATCTAAAGGTGTCTGAAAAAATGATATTTGATCCTCAGGACAAGTCCCTCCTGTTTTGGAATAGGCTTTTGGTTATTTCATGTATCTTTTCGGTAGCAGTTGATCCTCTATTTCTTTACCTTCCGGTTTTCAAGAGTAGTGAAGACCACTGTCTTCACATAGATTCAATGTTAGCATATGCAACAACTGCCTCCAGGACAATAATCGATTTGTTTTACCTCATCCGAATGATTCTCCAGTTTCGCACAGCTTACATTGCTCCCTCATCTCGGGTTTTTGGACGAGGTGAACTCGTCATAGATCCCAAACAAATTGCATCCAGATACATACATCGTTATTTTATAGTTGATCTTCTTTCTATTCTCCCTCTGCCTCAGGTTTGTTTTGATTATCTGAAGAAATAGCATTAAATTAGCAGCTGGATGTATATATAGTTCAAATTCTTTTAATTGTGATGTGCAGATTGTGGTGTGGAGATTCCTTAATGGATCCCGAGGCTCGAGTGTAGTAGGTACAAAGCAAGCTCTAGTTGTCCTTGTTAATCTTCAAAGCATTCCCAGGTTTTTGCGGTTTATACCTCTAAATTCAGACATGAAAAAGACTTCTGGAGTGTTTGCTGAAACCGCGTGGCTTGGGGCTGCATATTACATGCTGTGGTTCATGCTGGCAAGTCATGTGAGTAGATCGAGATCGAGATCAATATCAATTATCAATATCAATGAAGAATCCATTAAATGAAATTTGCATAATGCAGATATTTGGAGCCTACTGGTACCTGTTTGCTGTGGAACGTAAAAATACATGCTTGCAACAAGCGTGTAGGGATAATGCAGATTGCAATCCAAGTTTTTCTTTACTGTTTTGTTCACCTGACAGAGATAAAACTGCAAATTTAACTGATTGGAGAGAGATAACTGAAGATGTTCTCCAAAAAAACTGTGGTGCTGATGAGGATTCTCCCTTTAACTATGGCATATACGCGCAAGCTGTCATAGCCGGTATTCTTGACAATCAAGACTTCGTCCCCAAATACTGCTATTGCTTGTGGTGGGGCTTGCAGAATTTGAGCACTCTTGGGCAGGGTCTTGAAACAAGTACATATCCTCTGGAGATTCTGTTTTCAATAGCATTGGCCATTAGTGGGCTCCTGCTGCTTGCTATTCTCATTGGAAACATGCAGACCTATCTTCAATCTATAACGGTTAGGCTGGAGGAGATGAGGATAAAAAGGCGTGACTCCGAGCAATGGATGCATCACAGGGTGCTGCCACCGGAGCTCAGGGAAAGAGTGAGGCGTTATGATCAGTACAAATGGTTGGAAACAAGAGGTGTAGATGAAGAGAGTCTGGTGCAGAATCTGCCTGTAGATCTCAGAAGAGATATTAAGCGCCATCTTTGTCTCAATTTGGTTAGAAGGGTGCCTCTATTTGCAAACATGGATGAGAGGCTACTGGACGCCATATGCGAGCGACTCAAGCCAAGCTTGTTCACAGAAAACACCTACATCGTCCGAGAGGGCGATCCGGTGGATGAGATGCTCTTCATCATCCGCGGCCGCATGGAGAGCGTCACAACGGACGGTGGCAGAAGCGGCTTCTTCAACCGTGGCATTCTAAAAGAGAGCGATTTCTGCGGGGAGGAGCTTCTCACATGGGCGTTGGACCCAAAAGCGGGGGCCAACTTGCCGCCGTCCACCCGCACGGTCAAGGCCATGACGGAAGTGGAAGCCTTCGCACTCATCGCCGACGAGGTGAAGTTCATCACCACCCAGTTCCGCCGCATCCACAGCCGCCAAGTGCAGCACACTTTCCGGTTTTACTCGCAGCAGTGGAGGACGTGGGCGTCCATGTACATCCAGGCCGCCTGGCGCCGCTACACCCGCCGGAAGCTCCGCCACAGCGAGGCCGACTACGACGATGATGGCCGCGACGAGGACGACGATAACGAAGAAGCCACGTTAATCCCTAAGATTTCACCGTCCTCCTCCTCCAGAAGCATCGGCGCAACCATGTATGCTTCCCGGTTCGCTGCAAACGCGCTGAAGAAGGTGCGCAAATTTAGATCTTCCAGCCTCATCATGAAACCTCCCAAGCCTCCTGAGCCCGACTTTGATAATGAGGATCTCACTAAGGTTCAGCGCTTCATTTAATTTCATCCATCCCCACACTCATCCTGCATGCATACCTTAATTACATCATCCCCTTTCTAAATTGTCACAATCTACACACCATCAACCAACTAATCTGTCCATACTGTGCCCGAGTCATTATTCTTACATGTTCGATCTACCTTAACTTAGGATAATATAATGCAACACAACTAAATTTGTTGTATTTCTATGTTTGTTGAGTTAATTCAGCTTGAGTTTTACTAGGTATACACCCAAATTCTACTCTCCCACTTTTTCAACATGATCCCCCAAAAAAGTATTCACATCAAGAATTTGAGGGTAGAGTAGAAAATAGGAGTACATATAGTATTTTCTACTTTGTTTTGTTGTTGAAAGTATTGTATTAATAAATAAAGTTACCCTTTTAGGGATAAAATGTTGTCAATGTATATTAAATGCTATATTATTTTGCATAATCATACTGATCATTTACAATTTTATAAATAATACTCCGTAATAGTTAATCATTTACTTAAGAGGGGGTTTGATAGGCGGAAAAGTTCAAACTTTTCTGAAAATTTAAAAGGGTAGTGGTTGGGAATCTATTAATTTTGGACGATATTTATTTACGAGTTCTACTAAGAACTATACATGCATTTCCAAATTCTACTCTATCACTTTTACTCCATAATGTGGCAAACAAGGATATGATATTTTCATCATGTTGGTCCCAGGAAAAGTGTCTACATCAAAATTTGTGAATTGGAATAAGAAGTGGGAGTACATTAGTATTTTCCTTTTTTTGACCTATGATTTACTAATGTTTTTTCTTTTTTAAAAGGGTAGTGGCTGTGAATCTACTAATTTTGGATTGATATTTTGTGACATATGATTTACTTGTGTTTTTTTTTTTTTTTTTTCTTTTTAAAAGGGTAGTAGATGGGAATCTACTAATTTTGGATTGATATTTTTTGAAATATGATTTACTTATGTTTTTTTTTTTTCTTTTTAAAAGGGTAGTGGCTGGGTGTTTGTATATTTCAATTCAAGGATATATTAGAGATTTTAAAAAAATTTAATACGAAAAGGGATTCAAACATATGACCTCCCATTTGAGGAATCACATAATTAATTGTCATTAAGCTACAAGCTACTTAAATATAAAAATATCTTCTTAGGATTTTTTTTTTTTTTGAAAGCAAACACGAATCAATCTTATTGCAAATGCATCAAAAGAAAGTCAGGCGGGATAGCATCCCAATACGGAGAACCATCCTGAGTAAACACCTTAATGGCCAAAGAATGAGCTAAAATATTTAAAACACGAGGAACCGAAACTAAAATACAAGAAGAAAACGTATCCATAATAGTCTTGCAGTCGCGAATCACCACACCCGCATAAAATCTCGGGGGGGGGGGGGGGTGGGGGATAAGGCCTGTTGATGTAACCTTGGTGTACCGAGCAATCCGTATAGACAGTGACTTCTGTAACATCTCGTGCTTTCAGCCATGATATAACTTCCTTACAAGCCAGTGCCTCAGCCGTAAGAACGTTCTCGGTAAAAGGAAGCTTCCCATTTACCGCCGCAATGAAACTGCCATCTTCCACAACCAACGCCCCTCCAAAAGTTGCTGCTCTCGAGTCCGGATTGCGGCATGCATCTACATAGCACCGCTAACCCAGAGCCAGCTGCACCAGTTGCTGCTGCCGTGATGCTCCCGAAGCATGAAGCCCAGTCGCACGCCATGCTGCAACGGCCGTGTTGGCTAAATTCCACGTGTGGCGTGGTGTATAGAGATAAGCCTCCCATACCGCATTGTTTCTTGCTCCCCATATTTGATAAAGGACTACAATAACTTGAATAAGAACATCCTAAGTTAAAATAGACATAGCATTCTGAAACCACTCAGCAAAGCAACCACCAGTCACACAAGAAATAGGGAGATGAGATTCATTCCACACTTGAAAAGCATAAGTACACTCAAACAAAGAATGCATGAAACCCTGAAAAGCGTTCACATCAAGAATTTGAGAGTGGAGTAGAAAATAGAAGTACATATAGTATTTTTCTACTTAGTTTTGTTGTTGAAAGTATTGTATTATCAAATAAAGTTACCCTTTTAGGGATAAAATGTTGTCAATGTATATTAAATGCTATATTATTTTGCATAATCATATTGATCATTTACAATTTTATAAATAATACTCCGTAATACTTAATCATTTATTTAAGAAGGGGTTTGATAGTCGGGAAAGTTCATGTTATAATTATTATACTTATGGCTATTAAAGTCTAAAGATTCTTCATTGGCTTACATTATTTATTCTTCCAAAAGGTTGAACCCCAACCCTAAGGCCCCCCCAGCCACACCCCGACCCGACAAAGCATTTGGGGGATTGATTACATTATTTATGTTATGTAGTTGAAGGGTTGTATCACTTGTATGACCCATTATATAAATGGGTGAAAGCTAAATGATACATATAGACATTGTGGTGTCCAATATTTGTTGTTGTTCTTCTCCTTTTTCTCTCTTTACGTACACAACATACATATACATACGCAAATTTCGGGTGTATAACCGTGCAAGCATCACGCGAGAACTAACGAGTTGATAGGCCAAAACACAACACATTATCAACACGAATCACCAACATACTCTCCGATGAACGGCAATGTATAATTAGTAATGAACAGCCACTATTCGAGAAATAACCCAGAAGATTTTACAACATTGCAAAATCGTTGTCCACGCAATGGAGCATGAACCAACATTGTGCTTGGTGGATAGTGTAACCATGCATACTATACTTACGGATAGGAGGTTTTTTCGTACCTTGAACAAATCAAGTAGTAATATTACTACCATCTAATGATTAGGTACAAATAGTGGGCTCTGGAAGAGCATCTATCATCCTCCCTAACAGTACAAAGCTACTGTAACACCCCACTTTTCTTAATCTTAATTACAATTCTAAACCACAATTAATATAAACTAAGCAGTGGATAAACAACTTAATAAGTAAACTAGTGGGAATGTCACCGCCACAACCACCACTCCATGGTGATTGCACAGGCTAAGTATTAGGAACAAGTGTATTTAGATTTTGATGATACCAAACTGTCTTAGGATGTAGACCCCTATCTTTCGTTTATTAGAAACTCTCGTATGACATAGGCATGAAATGTTGAACCATGCACGAGACTAGTAGAATAGGTTTATATAAAGATTCGAAGATGATCGAAAGATGCTTGCAGATGAAAGAAGGATTAAAGAAAGTCTCGGATGGACTGCTTCGACAAAAGGAACTTTCGTTCAAGAAGAAAGGACGAAAGATGAGGACAATCTTTCGTCCCTAAGTAAACAAGTCAAGGACAGACTTGTTGAAAGACAACCCTCATTAAAAGGAAATAATGAGAATGTTGTCTATCACTCAGCTGGGCAAATCATTCGAACAAAAAATGTCCTAGGAATGATTTTCACTAAAGACAAGGAGCATTAAAATACTTGTACCATCTTGTCAGAAATCAAGGACAAAAGTCATAATGCTTTTGGCTTCAATGGCTATACAGTACAAGTGCATTTAATGCCCAATGCCCACTGAGTAATACACACTGGTTATTAGGTTTGAAATTTTCATCTCCCTCCAACGAATGGATTTTTCCACCTATAAATACCTCTCTTCATCGTTGAAGAAGGTGCTGGTTAACTCACTCTCTCAATCTAAAGAAAAACTCTTCAAAGCAATTCCATCTTCTTAGCTTTTCATAACCAGTGTTTATTGTGAAGTTTTTCAAAGGCATATCCATCCTCATACTTCACAACCTGAAGCTGTCTTGCTCTTTTCTCAAGTGAAGATCTACCCAGACATCAAGACAAGCTTCAACCTGTTGGAGAATCATCATATCACTTTTCCAACATCTCCGCTTAGGAAGAAGTTGATAGAGGCGGAGTAAACTCTAGGAGTTGAAAAACCTTTCAAGTGGCTGTCCGACTTAGTGTTCAACGAAGCCAGCCTGAAGTAGTTTGTACTAGGAGTGATAGTGCAAACCCTTTCACGAGTTGTGAAAGAAGAGTGGAGTAGGCACAGTTGGCTGAACCACTATAAAAATCTCTCTGTCCTTCTCTCTTTATTTATCGCTTTTACTTTCGTGTCTTCCATATCATACAACATCGACCAAACGTTAAATCTTTATCAACACGAAAGAGTGCAAAGATAATTTAATGCAAAATACTACTTTCGCTGCACATATCTCCGAAAGGAGTTTAATCGAAAAGAATCGATTAGAGTTTATTCACCCCCCCTCTAGACTCTCTCTGACCCTACCGGGACCTACAAGTGGTATCAGAGCAGTTACCTTGTACGGTAAACGCTTTGCGTTACTGCTTGGTAAATCCCTTTTTGCAAACCTTGCATAAGAAAAACTGCTATTTTTCATCTTTGCACAAGTTTTCTTAAACAAAAATGGAAAGAGAACATTCTAACCGTTCTAGACCTCTTGCCTTTAATCTTTCAAAGTTTGATGACTGGAAAGTGAGAATGCAGGCACATCTTTCAGCTATTCATGATGAAATGTGGGATGTGATAAGCAAATGTCCCATCGTTGTTATGATGGTAAACACTCAGGCAGTTGCACAAGGAGCAGATGTAGAAACTATGATACCTAAGCCAAAATCTCAACTCACTTCAGATGAGAAGACTCGGGCAAACCTCGACAATGTTGCACGAGACATTCTCTATAAGTCTCTGGACGACTCGCTGTTCCCGGGAGTACGAAAATGCACCACTGCAAAGCAAATATGGGATACTCTCATGAGTTTAGGCGAAGGTGACGAATAGGAGAAAGATAACAAGCTCACCGTGGCTATGAAAAAGTTTGAGGATTTCAAAATGATGCCAAATGAAGCCATCACTGATATGGAGCTCAGATTCACAAAACTCATGGGTGATCTTTCGGATCTTGGAAAAGAGCCAACCGAAAAGGAGAAGAACTTAAAGATTCTTCGAGGGCTTCCAAAATCTTGGGACATGAAAGTTACAGCCATGAGAGATCATAGAGACATGAAAACAACCAGCACAAGTAAGATCTTTAGCGATCTCAAAGCATATGAATTCGAGCATAAGCCAAGGGAATCCGAAGAACCCGAAACATGGAATATAGCCCTGGTGGCTAATCAACAAGCATCAACATCAAACAGGTCGAATTCTAACTCTTGTGAATTCTTATCTGACGAACAATATGCTTTGTTTGTGCGAAAAATGAAAAGGTTCATGTGGAAGAATAACTTTCAAGAC